ACTTACGCTCCATCTCGAATCACGGTCCCACCTCCTTCAACTCGATGTCCTTGCCGTCGCGCTTGTAGACGTTGTGCCTGTTGGGAGGGGGGGGGGGGGCACAGAAGTCACGGGAGGGGTCGCGGCAAGTCACACGGACGGCGCTGGACTCTCATTACGCGTCCTCGCAGACGTTTGCCAGTTAGAGGCCAGCGGCCACCCTGTTTAAAACTGCGGATGCATTAACAAATGAACAACATTACGCGCCTTCAGCTTCAGAGATGGCGTTAAATAAAAACTCTGTGCTGTTGCTCGAAAACTAAAGTAAAACGAAACTATTTTTATTTTACCACTGAGCTATGTAGCTCTTTTTCACATAAAAATGTATAGCAGCAAAATACTCGAAATTCAAGTTTCTAAATGTGTAGGGAAAAACCCGGAGGACCCGGAGAAAAATCAAAGTGACCAGGAGGAGAACATGCAAACTCCGAATATACAGGCGGACACACAGCACCTGGCCCAAAAGTCTGCTCACTCTTTCCCATTCCGAGACATCTGCAAGTTGCCGGGTGGTAGGTGTCACGTTCACCGCTGAATCTCGGTACGCGCGAGCGGCTCGGCGTTAATTTTATTTATAGAGGCGTAGCGCTGCTGTTTTTAAAAGGCGTTGCCCTCACCGCAGAGAACCGTAGTGACACGACCGGCACTCTATGGAACAAAACTGTGCCACACGCCCTCCCGCATGGTCTTATGGGAGCCTCGGTATGTCTTCAGGTCAGAAGACGTACTTGAGTTTTTCTTACGGTTCCGTTTCGACGACGTATATGTACATCATGGAAATGAGAAAGGGTTATAGCCTATACGAGGGATCTTTGTGCTTTGGGGATGGGGGAGGAAGATGTGGGTGAGACTGGCACGGTGCCCGCACGCACCCTCTTTCCGAGTCGCGACGTGAAGTTGTGCATCACGAGGTGTGGGAATGCCTCGGACATCATGTCCACGTCCGGATGTCGTGCCGCATCACCACGCTCGAGAGTGTCAAGTACACCGTGGCATCGTACCACGTGTCACATGAACAGCACGCCGGAAAGTTAGACACACCACAGGTGTCACACAGACTGTACTGGAGAGTTAAACACACTGCCCTTCCATCATGCGGCATCATACCACATCACACCACATACACAGTTAAGACACCACAATTCCCCGTCTGCAGCGTCATACTACACACCGCACATCGTACGCACAGCTAAATACACCTCCATCCCCCGTCTGTTGCACCGCATCACACACGTCACACCATGCATCACACCGGGGAGCGGGAGCGGAGTGGCTATCTCATTACACTACAAATCCGGTGACCTGACTTCGATTTCCGGTGTGTCCAAGCATCGACAGTGGGGAGACAAAAGGGGCCAGATGCGGTAATGACCACACCACCCACCCCGCCGTGTGCCCTGCCGGCCTTCGTAGGTCGCTCGACAAACAGCACTTGCCCTGACAGCCTGTTAAAGGCTACACGGGGGAGCTTTGTCGACTGCGGTGCGTGCGCGTGCCTGGCATACCGCGGTGCTCATGCAGGACGATGAAGTCGTTGACGGCGTTGGCGCAGCACGCCCACACCAGCGCCTGCAGCTTGTGGCCTCCGTGGTTCATCGGCTGAGCGTTCGGCAGGATCAGCTTCATCTCCTGCGGTGGTGGTGGGATGGTGGTGGTGGTGTGGTAACATGACAGCAAGCGGTCACACGCCGAGTCCGCTCTTCCCACCGGCGTCCGTCCCGGCCACGCTGCTTTCGCCCCCCCCACCTTCCCCGCCCCCCCACTGTATCCGACTCGGGTTGTGTTGTTTGTTTTTTCCATTGCGGAAGCCGAGCCGAGCCGTACCGGTATACGGGGTCGCCAAACCCCGTGTTGGCACAACTGGGATGCACCATTGGAAAAACTTTACTATTTTTATTTTACCAGGTAAGGCCCACTGAGCTATGCAGCTCTTTTCCAGAAGCGACCTGGCCACAAATCATAGCTCAACTAAGTGGCTTATCGTCATGTGGAAATTTATAGCAGCCAAATACTCTTAAACGGACGTTGATTCTAAATGCGGAGGGAAAAACCGGAGGACCTGGAGAGAAATCCACGCGACTCCTCGGAAAGAGGCACGCAACTCCAAATATACAGCAGGCATCAGGGTCAGGATTGAACCTGCGACCTCCTGTATACCAGGTGAGGGAGTTAACATCTCGCCACAGTGGCGCCCCCAATGGTACATCTTTCCGTGACCACCGACCGTGCGTAGTGCTACAGTAGATACATTTTCGATGAATGGAAGGGATCGGTCATCGGGAAAAGGCGGACTGAATCGCGAGGAATGAAGTTGACAAAAGCTGCATGCACCAAACCAAAGTGTCCAACGCTCCACCACTTACGACCCCCCCCCCCCCCACACAGCCTCCACCTTTCATCAACAACCAGATTTCTTCTGGTTAACTCAACGGATGCGAGTTGTCTCACACTGCACAAGCCCGATGATTGGTCGACACGGCTCGTGTGAGGTGCAAGGAACTGATTCTAAAGCCGATAGAGAACACTGTGTGTGTGTGCGGTAATTTAGCAGTTAGCATGCTGCCCCACAAACCTAGTGACCCGAGGTTGATTTCCGTTCATGGCCAACACCAGTGGCGATTATCTGAACTGGTCCTGGGCCTCCCCTAGATCAACTCAGCCTCAAATGAGTACCTAGTGCGGTGTGTAAACATCATTACCAGAGAGATAAAGGTGGCCAGTTGTGGTGCTAGCCACCTACACCCTCGCAAACAGCACCTGTCCCAAAAGCCTGTTAAGGCTATATGGGGGACCTCTGTCTTTGCGCGCTTGTACACATGCAATACACGAGGACCCACATTCCTCGTGTGACCCCAAACCCTGTAGCCCCTGTGACCCCGTGCCCGCACCTTGATGAACTGCTTGAGGAGGGAGCTGGGGTCGCGTGAGGTCGTCGCCATGATGTGTGGGTCCTTCACGCCGGCTCAGCGGTACTCGTCATCCATGTGGCTGCTCACTCCTACTGACACGGGGGGGGGGGGGGGTGGATAGAAAGAGGTGGTAGATGGGGCAGGGGGGACGGAGAGGGTAGGTTATCATTTGCCATACTTCCCCGTGCAGGTGAGTGAAGGTGTGTGTGTGGGTGGATGGAAGGAGCGACCAGGAATGGTTTAGAATATCACTCTGCAGTGATCGCGTTGATTTTGTGTAGCGAGCTGAGCACTAATGAGACCTGGATGAGTCCCAATTGCAAGAGTGGGTGGGTGATATGGCAGGTGAGTGGGTAAATTGAGTAAAATGATGAGTGAGTGAATGAGTGGGTCAGTGCATGTTAAACCTCTTTGTTACAGCACGTAGCCAACCGTGGTAATCGGAAGTGTGACAAACTAACCACAAAAAGTAGTTCTCAAGAAATGAGTTTGTCAATCTAGACGATGATTTAAAAGTGCAAAGCTCCAGTGGCTTCCTAATATTGTAAGGAAGACCGCTCCAGAAGGAAGACTGCTCCAGAAGCACACGTTATGTGGTGACCACGGCCTTCATTCGACATTCCACCAAAATTTACGCCAGCCACACACACACACACGGCCGACTCTTTTCCGCGTTCACGCCACGGGATTTTTCAAAGTCCACTTGGGAAGCAATCGCCGTGCAGTATTTACGGTCAACGCAACTGCGGCATTAAACCCATTAAACCGGTGGGGGGGGGGGGGGTTGAGGGCCCGCCGTTCTCGAACCGCGAACCTCCGCGGCAAAACACGGTGCCACCGCTTGGCAGGAAGGACCGACGGCGAGCCGGGGATGCGCGCCGACTCGGCGTGTCTAGCGGGCGGAGACGCGCGACGCTTATCCCCCTGCCTCGAGAGTCTCGCGGGAAGGAAGAGAGAGAGAGATGCGAGGAGACGTGATGGTGAGGGATGTGAGATCACCCTCCCCTCCCTGGTCGAACTCCACGGCCTTCTGGAGTTCAAGCGCCTCCCACCGCAGGTCCGTAGGCAGCACCAGGTTTTCTTCGGTGACGACGTCAGGGGGACAGGGGGCAGTGGGTGGGGGGCGGGCAGGGGAGAATTAACAAGGAAGAAAAATCATGCGCACGCATGGATTCATTCGGAAACGCTTTCCAACGCGCGGTTGTCTTCTCGCCTGTATTGTCAGACCGTCTTGTCCCATCTTAGTCCGTCTTGCGTGTCTCATTGTCTCTAGATCCGTCTCTAGTCTGTCTTGCGTGTCTCAACGTCTCTAGTCTGTCTCGCTGTCTCTCGTCTGTCTTGTCGTCGCGAGCCCATCTCTAGATCCGTCTCGCCGCCCGTTACCATCGAGCGCCCTCTTGAGCCGCGCCTTCTCCTCTACGAGGAATCTTCTTGGCCTCCTGCGCCTTGCGGTAGAGGTACTCGCCGTGCAGTTGCGCCTCCTCAGCTGCACCACCAAACAAAGACAAAGATCCCCCATGTAGCCTTCGACAGGACTGTCGGGTGCAAGTGCTGTTAACGAGCAGCACCTTTGATACACGAAGGGGGGTAGGTGGCCAGCACCACATCCGGCCGCCTTAATCTCCCCAGTGGCGATGTTTACACAACGCACCAGGTACTCATTTGAGGCTGAGTTGACCAAGGGGAGGCCCAGGAACGGAATCGTCACCAGTGTTGGCCGTGAGCGGGAATTGAACTCGGGTCGCTGGGTTCGTAGTGCAGCGTAGTGCTAATCGCGAGACGACCATAAACAACAACCGCCATTCGCCACGAAGTGGTGGAGATGTCACCACGGCGCTCGTGCCAGGCTACGTGCAGGTTAAGGCCACATGAAGCGTCGAACGCCCGCTGGCAGCAGGAGGTCACAGACAGACAGACCCAGGTTGCCATTGGTTGCTTGACTGAGATGACTGGCCGATGCACCACCTGTGCCCCCTACTGTGCTACACCACCGCTCCCACCTACACAAACTCTCTTGGGCTATACTCTTTGGTTCTTTCGGTAAAGTCACATAGGCATAAAATATAAAATAAATTAAATCACGACGTTTCGGGCACAACACAAGCGTCCATCATCAGGTGGGACAAACCACAGCAAGAAACAATTGCCGACGTGGGCAAAAGAGCTGCTGTAAACAAGAGACTATATAGGTAAGAGAAGGGGGGAGGATCAGGGAGGAGAGATAGAGAGGGGGGGGGTATGAGGAGGGAGTGCTGAAGAGAGCGGGGCTGGGAGTGGGAAGCTTAAGAAATTAGAGATGCGGAAAGTTAAGGCAACACCATAAAGCAGTTAAGGTTTTACCTGGTTAATAACATTCTTCCAATGATTACTCAATTTGTATCCATCTTCTCGGTTGAAGTTATGTCTGTGTTTATATATCTGGATGGCTTGATGAACAAACCTTTGATAGTAGCCCGAAGGTTTGCAGAGCGGCACCACGATACTCCTAGCGACGTCGTTGATTAATGTCTGTAATTAATATCGATGGTGAATCTCTGTAATTAATATCGATGATTCGATTCCACGAGAACAGATTCCACAAGAATCGATTCCACAACTATTTTAGTAAAGCGAAGTACGCGATTCGATTCAAACGTGTTCGTTCCGGTCTCATCAGAATCGGTATTGATTCTGTGCTGGAGGAATCCAATGAGCTATAAAGCTCTTTGATCAAAGATGTGCCAGTAGGGGGCACGGGGTCATAACGTCACAACAAACAATACAAAAACGATAGGAGTGCAAAGGGAATGGTAGCAAACCACTAAAAATAGGTTAAATAAACCATATAAGTTCATACTCTTTGGTTCTTTCGGTAAGAAGTCTCGCTCTCCGTTCCACCCACTACAACTGGCGTCAGAAGTAGCCAAATAGTAAGATGAATCGCTATAATGGAGACGCGAAGAAAAACTCGTACCAGGGCTCCAGTGGAAGAGGAGGACGACTCAACACCACCGGGGTTGGCAGCCCCGGAAGGGGGAGGAGAAGCGACGCCGGCCGAGCTGCTCACTGCCCGGCCGCCCGGCGGCTCACCACCGTCGGAGAGGGCGCTTCAGGTGGCTCACTCCCGCCTCGCCCAACTCCTGCACGCGGCGGCATCCATCCTCGACGAAATACATCGCGGGTTATAACCACAACAAATATAATCACAATCACTGCGACCATAATCGCCATAACCACAAATATAATCATAACCACCAGCTACATAACCACAAGTATAAACACTACTGCCACAAATATAACCATAACCACCACAACCATAACAACCAACATAACCACCACAACAACCACAATGATGCTGATACACTCTCACACCATGTGGGTCCCCTTGTCTCCTTGTGTCTCCCTGTGGGTGAGTGGATGGGTTGGCGAGAGAGTCGGTGGGTTGGCAAGAGAGTCGGTGGGTTGGTGAGAGAGTGGGTGGGTGGCAGAGTGAGTGACCGGTGGCAGAGTGAGTGACCGGTGGCAGTGGGTGACCGGTGACTAAGTGGGTGGGTGGCAGTGGGTGACCGGTGACCAAGTGGGTGGGTGGCAGTGGGTGACCGGTGACGAAGTGGGTGAGAGAGTGGGTGGCTGAGTGGGTGGCCGAGTGGGTGGCTGAGTGAATTGGTGAGTGGATGAGTGCCAGAGTGGGTGGGTGAATGGCTGAGTGGGTGGGTGAGAATCAGTATGTTTTTGCTGGAGGAATCCGATGAGCTATGAAGCTCTTTTTCATAGATGCCCAGAGAGTGGCTGAGTGGGTGGCTGAGTGAGTGTCGGTGGGTGTGAGTGGGAATGAAATCTAACCTGCACCTCTGCATTGCAAATCCAGCGAGCTAACGCCCTGCGTGTGGTGGGGTAAAGTGTGGGCATGGCCACTTTGCTCCAACACGTCCGGACCAGCGTGGAAGAGTAGACCAAATACCTCTATATAGCGGCCTCTAGTGGATGCCTTTTCCAGCAGCAGGCGATTCGCCTCCACAACAAACCCGTCCCTCCAGGGATAAAAACACACGGCAGTCTGGGAGTGCCTCTCATCAGCTATGGCTCAACACGAGGGCCACTCTGGGGCCGGTTTCCACCGTCAGCGCCTCATCAGCAGCAGCAGCAGGGCCGGGCTCTGCTTGAAGCAGCGCCGTGAACTCAGCAGGCGTCTAGGACGTGACGGCTGTGGGCCAGGCGCCTCCTCCTCTGTCTCCCCCCACCACCGCCGCCACTGCTGATGTGTGCACACCGCGCGAGGTTCTCACCTTCAGGCTGAGTCGACGTAGAGGAGGCCCAGCGAGCCGCCGCTTCAGAAGATTTCGCGAGCCACTGACGGTGGCCGTGAGCGGGAAACCAAATCAGCCGCTCGCCACCCACAATCCACAGCGCGCGCCGCCTCCACTCGCCCCCTGCCTGACTGTAAGTAGCAGCGGGGGGAGGGGGGTGGGCAATGGGGGCGTGAGGGGGGGGGGGTTTGAGGGGGAGCATGGGCGGGGGTTGCCAGGGGGGGCAAGGGGGGTCGCGAGGGGGGGGATGCTTGGGGGGGGGGTTGTGAAGGGGGAGGGGCAGGGGGGGAAAGAGGGAGCATGGGGGAGGAGCTTAGGTGAGGGGGAGGAGCTAATGGCTATTACACCACGCCGCGTCTCGCGCCACGTGCTTCCCCTGGCAGTTTGGCCGTTAGGCGTGGAACCGAGCTGTGGGTGAGTGGTGGCGGTGGTGGTGTGAGTCTTTCTATGTGAGTCTGTGTGTGAGTCTCTCTAAGTGAGTCTGTGTGTGAGTCTCTCTGTGTGAGTCTGTGTACGTGTGTGTGGGTCTGTGTGAGTCTGTGTGTAGCAGTGACCCGGTCTCAAATGAGTACCTGGTGCGATGCGTAAACATCGCCACTGGGGAGACAAAGGCGGTCGGGCGTGGTGCTAACCACCCACCCCTTCGTTTACCGTGCCGGCCTTCATACGTACTGCTGGCTAACAGCACTTGCCCCTACAGCCTGTTAAGGCTCTATGAGGATCGTTGTCTTTGGTGTCCTGTATTAGCAGGAGGAGGAGTGGTGGTGTTAATGTTGGTGGTATTAGTGGTGGTGGTGTTAGTGATGGTGGTGTTAGTGGTGGTGTTTGTGGTCTTAATAATGGTGGTGTTGGTGTTAGTGATGGTGGTGTTAGTGGTGGTGGTTGTTCGAGGTATTGTTGCTGGTGTTAGTGATGGTGGTGTTGGTGGTATTAGTGGTGGTCGTGTTAGTGATGGTGGTATTATTGGTGGTATTATTGGTGGTAGTGTTAGTGGTGGTGGTGTTAGTGGTAGTGGTGTTGGTGGTGGTGGAGTTGATGTTGGTGGTGGTGTTTTTAGGGTTCGTAGTGTTAGTGGTGGTGTTAGGAGTGGTGTTAGTGCTGGTGTTAGTTGTGGTGTTAGTTGAGGGGAGCGGTAGTGTAGCGGTTAACGTGCTGCGCTACAAACCTGGCGACCCGGGTTCGATTTCCGCTCACGGCCAACACCAGCAACGATTATCTGAACCGGTCCTGGGCCTCCCCTAGGTAGACTCAGCCTCAAATGAATACCTGGTACGATGTGTAAACATCGCCGCTAGGGAGACAAAGGCGGCCAGGCGTGGTGTTAGCCACCCACCCCCTCGTGTGCCATGCCGACCTTTATAGGTGCTCGCTAGCAGAAATTGCCCCTACAGTATATTCAGGCTATACGGGGGATCTGTCTTTGTTAGTGGTGGTGGTGTTAGTAGTGGTGTTAGTGGTGGTGCTAGTGGTGGTGTTTGTCGCGGTGTTGCTGGTGTCCGAACAAAGGAGCGACGCTCACAACAACGACCTTTGACCTGGGCGGCTGAAATGTAGCACGTTGGCACAGTCATCTCAGTCAGTCAACTCTTGGCACCTGGGTCTGACCTGTGACCTGTCAGTGAGCCTTCAGCATTTCACGTGGTCTCAAAGTGCACCTGGCCTGGCATTTGCCTGCTACTTAGTGGCAAATGGCGGTCTTTGTTGTTTTTGTTGTGTTTCGTGTTGTGGGTGAGTGGTGAGGTTGTGAGTCTGTGATGATGATGTGAGTCCGTGTTGATGATGAGAGTCCGCATTGTGACATGACGCGTGTTTAGACATGAGTATTGTCGCACACCATCGGTTTTGTGTGACCCTCACCTGCGTCTCCCGCTCTCCACGCAGAGACCCGGACCGTGCGAGAAACGCAGTGAGCTCTGAGCACCCTACTCTGCAAGTTGCTGCCATGGAGGTACGTGTGGCTCTTCAACTCGTGTGGTAAAATATGGGTGGACGTGTGTTTTCCCCTCGACTTGTGCCTACCTGTCACCTACCTGTATACCTGGATGTGCTTCTCCTTGTCCGCCTGAGTATGTGTATGTCTATCAGAGTGTGTCTCCGAGATCCTGTTGGTGTGCCTGCCTGTCTACGCGTGAGCATTTACAGCACTATTATCTATCCACTGATGAATGAGAATGCCTTCCTCCCTGAGACCTTGCTACCCCTCAAATGCTGTGATGGAATAATCCGCCAAGCGCCGATTTTGTCGCACCATCTCTCTGGTGGCTCTCCTCTCCGATGTGTTTCCTTCCTTGGCTGCCGCTCCGTTATTATTCTTCACTATCAGCCATTGTTGTCCCTCCTTGCCATGGCTCGTCATGCCCGATCCCCAATCACTCTTTAACAATTTGAACAATCCCTGCGTGTGACCTCAAAATCCACGCATCTTTCATTGTGAATCCAAGCATGGCATCTGATATTGGCCAAATATCCAATGCTGAGAAACGACAACATCTCGGCAGGACCCTCCTGAATGTGGAGCCCAGGATCTCAGAGATGCTGGCTCAGTGCTCGCCTTCTGCACTTGCTCCAACATCTTAATCAAGCCTATGTGGTGGACCTTTGTCTTTGTGTGTGTGTAGATGAGCCGAGCTGGAGAGGCTCGGAGTAACGACACGTCTTGCACCACGTGGAGTGCGCTGTCCTCAGACGGCACCGGCTCCATCTGTAGCAAATCGCCGAAAGGTAAGAACAGTAATGAGGGACGTCACAGTGGCCACGGTAAATAGTGGGACATCACTGATGGCCATGTTGCATGGGGGACGTCACAGTGCCTTTGGTGTATGAGAGATTTTATGGTGATTGTATGGGTGATGTCAAGATAGCAATGCTACATGGGGGACTTAATGGTAATCATGTTTTGATTTAAAGCTTTCGTGGCTGCAGGGATTCATATTCTTGGTTCTTTCGGTAAACTCACGTAGAAGGGCAACAATAAAATTATAAAAATATAAAACAATAAAATTCTCACGACGTTTCGACTGCAACACAAGTAATCATCATCAGGTGTGAAAACCACAGCAAGAACCACAGCAAGAAAAATTGAAATTTTCTTGCTGTGGTTTTCACACCTGATGATGATTGCTTGTGTTGCAGTCGAAACGTCGTGAGAATTGTATTATTTTATTATTTTATTGTTTCCCTTCTACGTGACTTTACCGAAAGAACCAAGAATATGGTAATCATGTTGCATTAGAGACTGCATCATGGTTGCCATGTTACATGGGGGACTTCATGGTGGCCATGTTGCATGGGGATAATTATCTGTGCTCTGGCCTCAGTACTGAAACAACATCAAACGCTTTCAGAATTGCTTCTGCGGCCATCTTGAATGCTCTTCCAATATTAGGAAACCACTGAAGCTATGCGCGTTTAAATCATCAAGTTTGACAACTAATATCTATACTCATTCGCTCTTTCGGTAATGTCACCTAGGTAGAAATAAAATAAAACAAATCACGACGTTTCTATCGCAACACAATCAATCTTCATCAGGTGGAACAACCACAGCAATAATAAAATGCTGAAGTAGGTGAGAGAGCTGCTGTGGCAAGAGGTTATCGGTAAGAAAGGGGGGAGGAGCAAGGGGGGGAGAGAGAGGGGAGCTGCGTGAGCGCTAGGGGGAGAAGAAGTGAGGCTGGGGGGGGACGTAGGCGGAGGTAGAAGTGGTAAGCTGAGTATGGGACATGGTGGGAAAGTAAATCTGAAAAATCTACTAGTACCTGGCGCGTGTGATGGAAACAACCACAACCAGTTAAGGCTTTACCTAGTTAATAACATCCATCGAATGATTGCTCAATTTGTATCCATCTTCTCGGTTGAAGTTATGTCTATGTTTGTATATCTGGATGGCTTCATGAAAAAACCTTTGATAGTTACCTGAAGGTTTGCAGAGTACCTTGGTCTCGGAAAAAAACAATATCACGCGAGCCCACAGCGTTATAACAATGGTCAGACACGGCAGAGGTATTGGTTCTGCGATGTTTCAGATCTGCCTTGTGTTCGCTAACACGGTCCGCGACATGTCAATTCGTTTTCCCAATGTAACTGCTACCGCAGGTACAACTCAGTTTGTCGACTCCAGGATATTGCATGTCAGGATGGGATTAGATCACGGATTTTGTGTACTGTATTGAATCGGACTTGGATCTTGTGTTTGTTTAAGATTTTGGAAATATTTTTGGTAACACCTGCTATGTATGGTAAAGTGATGGTCTTGATAGGCGTCTCAGTGGATTGTTTCTACATGGTTGGAGAAACAGCTTTGCGAATAATGCTGTCCCAGTACCCATTCATCTTAAGAGTCTGGTGTACGTGTTCCAGTTCACTGGCTTGGTGGTGTTGGTTGCAAATGCAGTGGCCCTATGGTGTAGTGGTTTGATGAGGGAATTCTTCTGCGCCGGATGGTGGTGGGAATTAGGTTTTAGATAGGTCTCTTCTCAAACAAAACATCCAGGAATTAGTAGCTTACCATCATTCTCCACTTCCATGGTGAATTTGATGGATGGGTGTATGGAATTTATGTTGTTGAGAAATTGATTCAATGTTGGCAGGCCATGTGGCCAAATGACGAAAGTGTGATCTACGTATCTCTTCCACAAGGAAGGACGTTGGGTGCATGTCTGGATGACATCAGTTTCAAATTTCTCCATGAAAACATTCGCTATCACTGGTGATAAGGGGGGACCCATGTGGGTACCTTCATTTTGTTTGTAGAAAGTACCATTCCTGGTGAAGTAAGTGCTGGTTCAGCGTTTCTACTGCTGCATGAATTTTTTTTCCGCCTGAGGACGACCGCTTGTGTTGCGATCGAAACGTCGTCATTTATTTTATTTTATCCATATGTGACTTTACCGAAAAAAACAAAGAGGAAGTGTTAGTAAGGCAGTTCCTAACCAAAGTTGGTACATCAGCATTCAGTCCATGTTGGACCAAGTCTTCAATTATTGCTAAGGTGTCAGGTACAGGAACCTTGGTGAACAGAGAGACTACATCAAAGCTGACGAGCAAATCATCTGGGGACAGTGAAATGCCTTTGATTAGAGAGATAAAGTGAGCTGAGTTTCATACTGCTGAGGTAGTCTTGCCCGTGAATGGAAGCAAGGTCTCAGACAGAAATTGGGCCAGTTTGTAGGGAGGTGA